TTTTTTTTTTTGCAAAAGACAACGATCATTTGTATAATCAAGCAGTTTTTGCAATGATAATTACCGGTATACTAGAAGGCTCTATCATCAAAGTGCTTAAATATTTTATATAACTATGCGGTTTTTACGTATTATAAGAACTTCCCATTATTAAGATGTCCATTTTTTTTTAAAAAAAAAATTTTTTTTGAAAATTTTTTTTTTTTTTTTGAACTTTTTTTTTTTTTTTTAAATTGTTTTTTTTTTTTTAAAAAAAAAAAAGCACTTACAGAAAAACATATAAAATATGAATCCAGTTATTACACCTACCTCTGAAAATTTAATGCCAGTTATTACACCTACTTCTGAAAATTTAATGTCAAATCAAAGGCATCTTCTTCTTTTTAACATAAATGAACCACTAGAAATCCTCTTACAAGAATTTGATTATGACTGGTGGCCTCTCATCTCAAATGTATAGACTAAATTTAGTCATGGAAATCTAATTAATAGCGATTCTTGGAAGACTTTTATGTGTTGTTTTGCAAAAAGCAGTCCATCAAGTTAGCGAAAAGAGGATATGCCGCAAAACAAACATAAAAAAAACAAAGGTTCAGCCTGCTGACCTGTGCTCTGTTAAAATAAAAATTACGTGATATCCTTCAATGCAAAAAGTTTAAGTAGAATGGTTTAAAGATTCACTTGACCATATCCACACTTTGGATGATAATGAAAAATTAAAACATTCACAAATTGTTTAGACTTTAGTTAAAATAGAAGCCATTAAGAACTATAAACCACCTGAAATAACAAGTGCAGTAAAAGAATATACAATGGAAATGTTAGGTCTGGGAGAAAGTGTAAAAGAGTTAAAGTGTAAAGAAGTTTCAAACATAAAGTTCAAAGTTAGTGGTGCTCTCAACGTACTTCTTATTGGCAATTTGAAGCTTGAGTTAGATATTCATGAAGTGGTTTCTTTTCTTGAAAAGCAAGGATATAAAGTTAAACATTTTAAAATTACTAGCCAATCTACTCAAAGTCTTGTTTTTGTATATCCTGATTAAATTAATAATCTCAAGCTATACAGATGGTTGACATTAATCGATTTAACCCACAAGACAAATAGATATGATTATCGCTTGTTTAACTTGTATATTCATAACATGTATGGATGCTGGGATGTAGAGGTTTATTTTTTCATAAGTGATAAGGATAGTGACACTGTCACAGAGGCCTTGAAAATAGTTTGACAGTTTGTAAATCATTGTAAGCCTAGGTATTTTCTTTCTGACCATAGTCATGTGGAAACAAAAAGTGTAAAAAAGGCTTTTCAAGATTTTCAAAATAGCGAGCAAAAATATGATATCATTTATTGTATAGTTTATACTATGAGAATGTGGATAAAAAAGATTTATGACTATAAAACTAGACAAAAAATAAATCAAGCAATGCACAAGAAGACTAAGCCTAGTTGTAAAAGTCTAATTCAACAAGCAATTAACAAGTACCCAGTTTTAGACATACAATAATATATCCAAAGATACTATTTAAAAAATACAGAAAAATAGGCTCTTTGGGTCTGGCAACACTCTCTTTACTCCTGCAAGTAATTATAACAAATTCTCTAGAGTTATATTACTCCGAATTAAAGTGTACCACCTTTTCACATTATTGATTAATTGGTACAATTTTTTTTTTTATTAGTATTATTATTATCTGGCTAATAATAGCAATGATAATAAATAAGTATCTAAAATTGTGTGAATTATTTAGCACCATTGTATTTAAAATTTTGCATGGTTTTAATGAAACCTTATACTTTTTAAAGAAGTAAGTTAAATCATAATTAATTGTACAATTTATTAAATATATCTTGAACTAATTCAATATATATTTATAAAGTTTATATTCTTGTAAATAGCATGGCAGTAACCTTATTATATAAATTAACTCAAAGCACCAAAACAATGACTGCAAAGATTTGGATCAGATTGTGACCTGAATTTGCTCCTGGAGCTCCAAATTGTTATATTGAATTAGCTACACAATGCATAGGTTTTGGCCCACAAAATGACCTGCCTTTATAGTTTTGATTAAGCTTAATCTACAGAATTAAAGCATGAAAACTCGGATGATACAAATAAAATTAGAAAGCAATAATAAGTCACTAACCAAACAAGAGTAAGTAGACTATTATTTACTGTATATAATTTTTTTACAAGATGTATATAACAGTTACAGGACATGTCTCCTTTGAATGCTTTACTTATAGGTTAAATGAAATGACGCACTACAATTTTATATGTAAAATTTA